ACGCCAGGACTATGGGAGATTCGTGTCAGGGTGGTTCTACTGAAGGCCCACCACGAACACCTTACGCCTAACACGCCCAGCGGAGACTGGGGATTGGTAGGGTGGGGCTACTGAGGGAGCAACCACCACCAACACCCGTACGTTATAAAAACGCGCCAGGGTCTACTGGGGGATTCGGACAAGTGTTCTATGGAGGCAGTGCAACCCCACAAACGTAGTCATAGCGACGTTCAACGGCAATACGAGGATTCCGGCAGGTGCTCTCGGCATACTGCGCCTGTCGCGTGACCGTACGGCGGAAGGCTCGCACTGTGGAGCCGGTGACTGAGGCGCTACTAGGGACGACTCTGTGCCGGATTCGGGGCTCCTGCAGCTGGTAAATGGATTTTCGAAGTAACGTTGACGTAGTTAGTCAGCGGTGAACGGATGTGTAACAATCTGGAGAGAAGAAGCACCGCTTCCGCCAGTTACCTTGGGTTACAGAGTAGTGCGAAACGCTTACTCACGTGTACAGGGAGATGTGTGCTTTTGAAATGACTTGCGCCTGAAGAGGGCCTTATAGCGTATAGGGAGTCCTTTAGCCGTTAGTTAGTAGATAGTATAGCTGTATTTTGTCCTTATCTGTATAGTTTATTGATTAGCTGTATAGTATGCTATAGCTGTATATTTTCATATACTGTATATTTATTGTTTGGCGGTAGATGTTTTATAGAAGCTGTATTATTAGCTATAGCTGGTGAATTAGTCTCTATATCTGTATAATGTTCTTATATACATTTTAGCTGAAGCTCATGCACCCGTACCGTACTCTACATTCTATTTCTTCTCAGGCTTCGGAGGACACAAGTCGACGTCAACTCAACTTCGAATACGTCAAGCGCGCGCTTCGGCTACGACAACTTCGGAACAGGTACAGCAGGTCGAGGTTCGCTTCAACGGGAGGGAGGAACGCCGCACAGGCGCCGCTCCCGTGAAGAAGCAAGCCGGCACAGACGAGCAGATCGTTATCGGCCGGTCGATTCGTAGGGCTACGCGTGCGGAGACCAGGGCGCGCTCCGGGGAGGGACGACGCGGATCCGGATCGGTTGTCTGCGCACCGCACGCAGGCCAGGACGCCACCCAGGCCAGTTCACGCAGGAGGCTAGCGGAGAGGCAGCCCCAGTCAGGAAGCGCGACGGTATTCGAGGGAGAACAAGGGAGATCGCTTTGGTCCGTCGCTGTGGATCTGCCCTGCCGGTCAGCGGACCGCGTCAGCTGACGGCCAGCCGCCCGCAACTAAACTGAAAACATTCGATACAGGCGGTCTGTTCTGCTACAAATGCGTGTCTTACGGTCAGTCGTTATGCGTCCATCCTCTGTCCTGACTTGGGCGGTGAAGACGCCAGACGAAACACGGAACATGAGCACGCGTTGGAGCGAAGAAAGTGCGTCGATTGAATAGCATTCGCATATCGCGGTAAGGAGATTAGTCGACGAATCGCTTTTTAGTAATCGATTAGTTACAAAATCGATTAGTTACGAAATCGATTAGTCGGGGGAATCGCGATTAGTTACGATCGATTAGTTACGAATCGCGAAGGCTTGCCAACAAGATTTTCACGCGAATTGTGCACAGACGAGCCGCGTTAAGAAAGATTCGTGAAGCGGTGCATTTTTTGAACGATATAGTGACCGCACGCTCGCGAATCAGTGGGTTGCGGGAGGAAGGGGCTGCACTTTTTACGGCACGAGCGCGGAGAAAAATGGTCATCGTCAAACAGAAGCGTTTTTCGATATCTTAGCAACGCAACGATCAAGTGGTTTATAACCGGGACAGCGTTCAGGTAAAGGGCGTCTCGCGAGAGCCGACAAGCGGATCAGTTTGAACGTCTCGGTTAGGCATCTGTGACCACGACAAAGACCTCATATAAATATGTGTGCGTAGTACTAACCAGACGTAGATAATAAAGAAACAGGTGAGCAGGAAGCAATGGGTTTAATTGGGTACTTGAGATGATTTATTTTGCCGTGTCAGGCGATACTGTTAATGCAGTTGTGCGCGATAGATTATTCATCTTTGTATCTTCGTGCTTCTTGTGCCTGTCGTCGCCCAGCCAGCAGCCACACACACACACCACACAACCACAACCACGACCATAACAGACCCACAACCACACAAACCACGCACACGCAGCACACCAACACCACACTCGTCCGCACACGCAACGCGACGCGCCACGCAACCACCACCAATACACAACACCACGCCGCACAATGGCCACACACACACCACCACGCTCAAGGAACCGCCAAACACACGAACGCCGCCCACGACATAAAGACACACGCACGCAGCACGCCGCCCACACAACGCAGCAGCCGGCATGCACACGCTGCACGCCGCACGCACGACGACACACACACACACACACGCACATGCACACGCACATACACCCTCCCCCCCACACACACACGGACAGACAGAAACACAAAAACACGTCACACGTTCTAACTTCTCCCCTCTCATTCTCTCTCGCTGTATCACGCTCTATCTCTCCTTTTCTTCTCCCTCTCGCTCCCTTTCTTTCTTCTCGCCTTCTCTTCCCCTCTTTTCACCATCTCTCTGTTTCTTTATTTTTCTCGCGTGCTCTCTTTCCCCGTATCTCCGTGTATACACGTACGCTCGATTCGTTCACCAGCGAACACGCGCTGCTACGAACCACACACAACAAGAATGCGGCAATGGAGCGTGTGTGTGAAGAGAAAGCCGACTGCCGAAGGAGAGATAAGCGGAGGAGGTTAATTCCGCTCTAGAAACCCGTAGCAGCAGCGTTGGCCACTCACCGCGTATTATACACTGGCTAGTTCTCCCTCCCTCCCTCCCTACCTACCTACCTACCCCCCGCGGCGATGCTCTCACCACGTCCGAGTGCCCGTGCGCATGCGCCGTGGTGCGAGCTGCCGACGCAAGCAGCAGAGGGCGGACGATGACCGACTTACGGCATTGTCGCCCGAGCTTGGATAACCGCGCACGAATGTTTACATTTACGGTGAATTTCGCCGGCGCCGCACCATGACAATACGATATAACAGCACGATATCACAATACGATATAACAGCACGATATCACAATACCTTGCGATATCGTAACAGGAAGTCACAACACGATATCACGGCATAATATCACAGCACGGTATCAAAACATCTATATATCACTATCTCATTAAATCAAAACCAGTGGTATCGTCACCACCGATCTAAAGCAGGGGTTTTCAATCGCGTGGGTTGGGAGAGAGAAATAAATTTCACCCAGAGGGCGGAAAGAGCTTTCGTATATCGCCGAGTGAAAAGGAGGGCAGAACTACATGTAAGAATTCTACCACTCCGTATCGAAATAGCCTTATACCTTATAATGCCGCTCAGAGTTAACGTAAATTGGCATAAACAACATGTTACTGTCGTTAAGGTGGAGCGAGGCGGTGAGAAAGTAGTACAAGTCAACGTCGAAAGGTGATAGCATGAAAGAGCTTGGGAGAATATCTGCCCTAAGCTGTATATATCACCTCAAGATGATATATAAAGTAACGTGTAATAATAAAAAAATGTGATAATAACAACGTGTAATAATAATATATAAAGTAACGTGTAATAATAAAAAGTGTGATAATAATAATTTAAACAGGGAGGAATTGAAACTAGATTCGGACAGGGAGGAATTGAAACTAGATTCGGACAGGGAGGAATTGAAACTAGATTCGGACAGGGAGGAATTGACGGTGGATTCAACCAGGGAAGAATTGGCGGTGGATTCAACCAGGGAGGAATTGACGGTGGATTCAAACAAGGAGGAATTGAAACTAGATTCGGCCATGTAGAAGTCGGTCCTCTCCGCGCGACCTTCAATAAAGCTGCGACAACCTCGAGCGACGGTGGCGCCGTGCAGGGTGAGGCGGAAAACATTGGCCAGGCAGGAGCCGAGCGTGTCTCCGTAACCAGAACCACCCATACCACAAGCGGTGCAGGCAACGTTAGAGGTTCCACTGGCAGGACTTCTCTGGGAGAGTCCACCGAAGGTTTCAACCAGGGAGAAATCACTGTGGGTCAGCGTGGGTCTACTGGTGGTTTTGACCAAAGAGCAGCTGGTGGAGCTATCGTCACCAGAACGCACACCACAGAGGAGAGCAACGTCCAGGATGTTGGTGGGTTTAACCAGGGCGGCGCGCCTCAAGGTTTCAGTCAGAGATCGACGGGAAGTTTTGAACAAGGCAGAGCTGGGGGCGTGACCACTTTCAGGACAGAGACCACAGGTGGAGGCAACATCCGTTCTACGGAAGGTGTCAGCCAGGGAGTATCGACCGGAGGATTTGGCCAAGAAGGAGGCGCTGGGACAACCACCACCAGAACCAGCACCACAGGTGGAGGCAACCTCAGAGTGTCTACCGGAGGTTTCAACCAGAGACCATCAACAGGGGGATTTGGCCAACAGGAAGGCGCGAGGACAACCGTCACCAGAACCAGTACCACAAGTGGAGGCAACCTCAGAGAGTCTACCGGAGGTTTCAACCAGAGACCATCAACTGGAGGATTTAGACAGGGAGGAACTGGAGCAACTACCATCACGAAATCGACTACCACAGGAGAAGGTAACAACGCCCAACGTACTACTGGTGGATTCGGTCAGGGTGGTTTTACTGGAGGATCAACCATCACCAACACCATACGCCTTAACAACGCCCAGCGTACTACTGGAGGATTCGGTCAGGGTGGTTCTACTGAAAGAGCAACCACCACCAACACCGTACGCCTTAACAACGCCCAGCGTACTACTGGAGGATTCGGTCAGGGTGGTTCTACTGAAGGAGCAACCACCACCAACACCGTACGCCTTAACAACGCCCAGCGTACTACTGGAGGATTCGGTCAGGGTGGTTCTACTGAAGGAGCAACCACCACCAACACCGTACGCCTTAACAACGCCCAGCGTACTACTGGAGGATTCGGTCAGGGTGGTTCTACTGAAGGAGCAACCACCACCAACACCGTACGCCTTAACAACGCCCAGCGTACTACTG